TGGATTGGATTGGATTGGATTGGATAAATTTGGATTGGATTGGATTGGATTGGATAAATTTGGATTGGATTGGATTGGATAAATTTGGATTGGATTGGATTGGATAAATTTGGATTGGATTGGATTGGATTGGATTAGATACCTTTTTTTAGCAGAGGTCATTTTTGCTAAATTTTTTAGCAGAGGTCACGTCGACCTCTGCTACAAAAATTGTATAATGTATAAGTACAAATATTATTAGAAATGCATTTGCGAAACATGCGATTATATCAGTTTGATATTCCCCAAACACTTCGCGGTTGAAGATAAGTTGACTAAAGGACGCATTACACGTGTTTAATTGGCTTTGCTAGTGTGCTTCAAATTTCAACTGTAGGCCTGATGGATTTTGTGGCGAATTAGCATGGCGTTGGGATGGTGGTCAAATATTCAGCAATGAAATTATACGTTTGGGGTTCAGACAGTGGCGTGGCCACGGGGGGGGGGGGGGGGGGGGGGGGGGGGGGGGGGGGGGCGTGGGGGGCGACAGCCCCCCCCCATGAAACCTTGTCGCCCCCCCCCCCAGTCGCCCCCCCCCCAGTCGCCCCCCCCCCCCCCCCCCCCCCCCCCCCCCCCCCCCCCCCCCCCCCCCCACTGAAAAATTCCTGGCTACGCCACTGGGTTCAGATGCAAAACATTAACTATATAGACTCTGGTTTATTTCTACAAAATATAATTCTATCAGTTTGCTTCCAAGTACGTGACTAATATAAACTTTACTATTTAGGAACACCCATCACCCTGGTAGTATGTTTACTATATACTAAAATACAGTTTTATCAATGAGAATATAATCACTACTAATGCTGTAAAAGGGCGACACTTCCATAGACTTGTGCACAACATTTTTCCATCTTTAATGTCACCTAACCCCAATTTTACCTTATCTTACTCCACAAATTCCGGTATATTTATGTTTTGGACCACGAGCAATCGATCTAGCCTATTTGCGGCGGTAAAATTCCTTCTCCAAATGGTAGTTATATAGAAAAACACCAAATTGTAGCCCTAATCAGGAGCGTCGCCCTCATATAGAAAAGCAAAGCAAAAAGTGTCTCCCTAATAGGGAATTCGTAATTTCAAGCGCAAATTTTATATAAAAATACTCAAAAAATTTACAATACATTAAAATCACAAGAACATTAAATTACCAGATGTAGAAGTAATACAATTACATGCATATAAATTTCAGTAAACTACATGGGCCCAAGAACAAAAACAAATAAATGTAAAACATGTTAACGTAAAAGTATGCTTAAAACATTTACACAAAATATGAAAATAATAAATTTTCCCATTTGTACATTTCATGGTCATTAGTATATTACGTAAAAATGATAAAACTAATGGCCTACATAATAATGTGACATATTTTAAGTGCTCGATGTGACATATTTTAATGGCTCGATATATATTCATCGTTATAATTTTACATCTTATTCCGAGAAAAAAATGGAGTCAATAACAAACATGAATTGAGGAAATATGTATGTGTTCCCGGCCAAAAGCAGTCGGAACTTTTTTTAAGCTAATGAACCTCAAATGACGGCAAAATTATAATTCAATATTTCTATGGCAGGCGTTTAGCCTGCAGTTGGTGATTTCAACGTTAAACAACAGTTAAAATAAATGTGAGCAAAAGTTGCTTTGCCATACATGATTTTCATAGAAGCTTTGTTATTGGTTTCATTATAATGAAATAAATCCATAAAAAGGAATGGAAGATCAATCTCTCCTATAAAAGTTCACGTATCCTAATAAAGCGATATACAGTTTCAGCGTAAAATTTATAAAAAGGTTAATAGTGCATATCCAATAACGCCCCGTTTAAGTGAACCTTCGGTAGATCTATTACCACAATCCAAATTTAAGAACATTCGAGATAACGAGATATCTTTCACGCAGCGATCCCAAAACCCAAAAATTCATACTTTAAGAAAAAAGCCGCGCTTTCCCTGTCTCTTTCTTCCATATTTACATCACAGAGGTGTGATTTTTCAAGATGTTTCCTGATTTCATGATTTTTTAAAGAATCTCTTTTGAAATCTGGTAACCTTTTGGTTTAACCGTAAATGTGTTTTTAACAATAAAGTTGATAGGAGAAAGAAATTGGGCATTGTAAGTGGTACCTTAGTTTAGGTATATACAAACATATAGACCCTACATTTCTCTTTGGCCATCGGCAAACCTCAAACCCCATGGGCGTCGCGAGGGGGGGGGGCAAGGGGGGCACTTGCCCTGGAAAAGCAACAAAAAAAAAAGGAAGAAAAAAAAAGAAAAGAAAGAAAAGAAAAAGAGGCGCGAAGACAAAGTGGTATAAATTTAATGAGTTGGGGGGGGGCAAAATGTCCCTGCCCCCCTCTAAAACTGATAAATCGAGAATGTGTTGAGAAATACAAGCATTTTTTGGCAAAAACAATTTTCCCCCCTCTAGAAAAAAATCCTGGCGACGCCCATGTCAAACCCTCTGCCAATAATTCAGTGGATTCTACTAATCTCTCCTGTGACATAGCATAAGAGAACATTGTTTGGATGGGAACACGCGCTTAAAAATTCTGTCGATTGATGTAAGCGAGATGATTGACCGCCAGTCGTCCGCCGAGATGAGAGAACCGTGACTCGTGAGTAGACCTCAGTGTTGGAGGTCTCGACCAAAGTCTTGGTCTCGCGACTAGTCTCGAGACCATTTTTTTAAGGTCTCGACGATTTTGAGGTCTCGGAATGTTGTGGTCTCGGTCTCGACTCCAAATGTCTCGGTCTCGGACAAGGGTCTCGGATCAAGACCTTGACGAGACCCGTTAAATGAGTGTTTGAAGACAATTATTCGATTAACCGCTTATGGAGTCGACACTGAATCACCTGGGCAAATCTATGATAACGCATAGTGCATGTCAAAAGAATTTCCGCAACTAGAGCATGCTTATCGCTAGCATATCGCCGCTCAGTCAGTAGCATGGACTGTTTGTCAAAATCTGTTAACAAACCGCGTGTCGTGACGTCCGTCACGTGCGTGCATTGACTGATGGTGACAACTGGACTTGCATGAAAAATACATTGCACACTGCACGCACGGCGGATGTGTGTAGTCACCGTGACTGCATGTTAACATCCATGCTGAAAGGTTCTCGCTCGTAGTATAACGGTGTAACGTTAAATATTTCAGAAATTATTTTGAGTTGATGATTAATCATTTATATAAAGTGCTGTCTTGTCGAATTGAAAATTATGTCAAGCAACTCGTTAATCATAAAATTTGCTTTTAAGGAGCATAAAGAGTTTGTGGACAAAACATCAGGGAAAAGAAAGCACTCAGCTATACCTTGCAGATTTTGTTTCAGTCAGAAGCGTATTACCGACCAGGCAGGGATGAGTTCGGCCTTCATCAGGCACGTGAGCCGTGTCCACAAAGTAAAGAAAGTACCTATCGCCCTATTTAAACCATTTATTAGGCCCAATAATATTAGCCCCAAAATAATTGAACCAACATCTCCGTCAATTTGAATTAACGTTAAACAAGGGAAAACCTTACAGATGTAGGGTCAGGATGAGGTATGTTGCACCGTGTGTTGCTGGGCTGAGGGCCAAGTTCGCCATGTTGAACTTTTTTCTTACGTGTTGTTTGACAATTTACCAGTTCAGATATGTTGAAGTTGATGAAACAGAGTATAACTGCTGCAACTGATAATAGTTATTTTCATATTAAAAAGTAATCAAATTATCAGCAAGCTTTGACTTGAGTAGGATTGAAGCCGAGTGATAGTACGGTTTTGTTTTGGTCCTCAAAGTTTTCACGGAACATGGGCGCCACCATCTTGGACTGAGTGCGCCCTAACACGTCATTTATTTACTTTTTTTTTTTTTCTCAAAAGTAGTTTATGTCCACCAGTTGTCCACCCAAGTTTGCTTAATTTGTTTTCATATTGACTGGTTAATTTACATGGATAATGGGGACATGTTTTGAAAACAAGTATTTTTTTTATTTTGATTTATTTTTTCTCCAACAAATTATTTCAATTTAATATGTTTCATGTTAATATGATTTTCCTTACTGCAAATAACTATAACTTTCTTAATTGACTCATTTGCAGATACAATGAATACATACAAAACAAGACTCAGGCAGACAGTCAGCAGCATACCATCACCAGTTTATTACACCTGGTGCACATAGCAGCAGTTTTTTTTTTAAATGAGGTCTCGGTCTCGGTCTCGGTCTCGGACTATGAGGTCTCGGTCTCGGTCTCGGTCTCGGTCTCGGTCTCGGTCTCGGTCTCGGTCTCGGATGGGGAAGTCTCGGTCTTGGTCTCGGTCTCGGACTATGAGGTCTCGGTCTCGGTCTCGGTTTCGGACTTTGAGGTCTTGACTCCAACACTGGTAGACCTGCCGTGATATGGGCGGTACAGACGCTCCCCTACTCATACTCCATCAGGTTTAGTTCCGGGGTGCCGCGGGTTGCTTCGAGTGTCTGTACATCGTGCAGACCCCAATTATCACAAGTAGGCAGACGAGAGCTATTACCGGGATCAGAATGGCGGCAAGGGGAGTACCTACGACGGAAACAGAACTTTGCTGTAAGATTTTTGAACACGGGACCAAATAACTTTCAAAGCGAATTTTGTTTGTTTCAATGGATTTTTTGTTTACTACCTTCCACTGTAAGGACGTGTTTAGGTTCATTTGCAAAATGTTGATTAGCTAAGTAAGTAGTGTTTAAATTTGATCCAAAAATATATATTTTTCATGATGTGGTGACCACCAACATACGTAAATCCATGTACAAAACATTTATTTGGCCATTGTACAGTATGTCTCTGGCCTATTAATTACTCTATTGTAAAATAACATTTTTACAAAGAGGAACATCATTGCTCTTAAATACTCCATACAGACTTAAAAACAAAATCAAATGACAGAAAGACAGGTTTTTGGAATGTCATCCACGATTTTTTAATTTAAAAAAGTACCTTTTACTGATGTCTGGCAAACGTCACCGGTGAATCCAGCAGAACAACTTTAGTAAGAAAACAATAGAAAGGTTTTTGACGTCATACTGCAAAACATGATATGCCTTTTAACACAATGAACATGTGCGAGGGCCGTGGTAGAATCGTGTTAGTTTAAGTACATGCATATAACACTAATGCACCAATGACAAGTTGAAGAAGGTTTCTGAAAGTTGCCAGAAGTTGCACATGTGTTATAAAAACACACACACACAAGAAGACTATCGAAAATAAATCGGCCTAAGAAAAACAACCTCTATTTTCGTTGCCGTAAGCTTTCATGACTGTCATTGCCATTGCTATCACTGTGATTGTCACTGCTGAAGAAGCAATAAAATGTGAACCTACTTGCAGGAGAACTGGACCCTTGGCACTGCTCCTTCCCGCAGACATTCCCCGCCATTTTGGCAATAGTCGGTAGGGCACGTGATCGACTCCGCTGTATTTAACAGAACAAAAAAAAGACGATCACTGGGCCTCGTCTTAATGCATGAATCCCATTGAGGTATATTGTGCTATTTCCGTGAATCACACTGAAATATGGAGACAAAAATCTTTCGATGAAAAATCAAGGTGATAATTATTAATGAAGGATATTATTCAAAAGCAATTAAAGGCTTATAAGGTTAACTGTTCCACGTGGTTCCTTCACTTTGTCATACTAATTGTTCGCAGCTACAAACGATGCATAAAGTTCAATAAAGTAATGCTTGAATTTATACACCTACCTACAGCGACATTAAAAGTGCAGATGGCCTCATTTCCAGCAGCATCAGTCGCGTTACAAACAACAATTGTAGTTGCATCGACTGGAAATGAACTACCAGCGGCTGGAATACAGGATACTGCAGGTGTGGTCCCATCATTGTCAGTTGCTGTAGGATCTGGTGTCCAGGTTACCACAGCGTTGTTGGTCCTTACATTCGAAGGACAATTGTCGATCACAGGTGCTTGTTGATCTTGATTGTTTTCGTTATTGTTGAATAAAAAAAGGAAAGAGAAAAAAGATAAAGTGTCCCGCTCCTTTTCATTATCAAGTTCAATGGTAATTAATTTAATTGATGGATACTAATAAGTGAAGCGGTTGTCAGTGATTTTTGTAAAATGTTCTTGTAAAACGTACCAAAGACAACGTTGAATGTACAGGTAGTCTCTCCTCCAGCCGTATCAGTTGCTGTGCAGTTGAAAGTGGTCTCGTTGCTTGTAAGATGTAATGCACCACTAGTCTCCATGCAATGTATGGGCAAGGAGTTCATAACGTTATCGGTAGCTGTGACGTCAAGGTCTGAGATGATATCGCTCACTACATCTTTATTCGTCCTCACATCGTTGCAACTATCTATCGTTGGTGGTGCACCGTCATCTGCAGCACAGGGTGTTCTGGACGAGACATTTATTATCGCAGGGTCTAAGTATCAAAGATTCACGTACGAAAGTGTCAAAGCGGTTAACAATCCTCTACGTTTCTGTCCGATATCTCCTGTGCCTAACAAGTTCAAGGCATTGGTAGAACATATCAAGGATATTCCCTTTGGACTACTCGTCACATGTCTAGTGATTCAAGTGCAGGTCTTGCCAAAAAAAGTCCTGTTTTGAGGATGTCTTTTTTTTGTCACGCAATGGTTAGGGCCTACTAACGAATGCCATTCTTACAAGGTTACAAAAGTTCAAAGTTCAAAAAATGGCTTCTTTGCATTATTGCAGGTGTTTTTTACTCACCCTGTAGGTAAAATGAAATTTCCATTCACATTTTTTTATTTTCAAGCGAGTCCGAGAGTCACCACTCTTTTGTATTGTCTTTCTGATCAGTTCCTGTGAAAGAAATGTTAAACTAATGGGCCATTTTTAATGAGGGTAAAATACTGTTTAGATTTGTTGTGATAAAAAAAAACAAATGTCATAATTACATGTATCTTACTATTATAGCTGGTGAACCATTAGCAACGTGTACGCCTACGTACCATAACAAGCCTGGCCGGAATCCGGAGGCGTTGCTGGGTTACAGTAACAGCACAGGACGCCCTCTCGTTGAGATATGCATTTTCCGCCGTTTTTGCAGGGAGAACTTGAACATACGTCATTCAGCGGTGGATCATTTCGCACTCGGACTATTTAAAACGAGGTATAGAATATGACCAATAATGAAGGAAAGATCACTGAGATTTAGTTGGCAATTTCTAAAATGAAGTTTGTTCGTTACAAAGGGACATCTTTAAATCGGCAAACACATGTTTAAAATTTAACAATGTTGCAAGTATAGGTACATGTAATACATTTTCAGCTTAAAAGCCATGACCTATAATGTGTAAAATGCGTATAAACCAATGATACAGTTCGTGTTTTTTTACAAGACAAACAAAAAGCTTTCCACTTTGTGTTTGTATGTTATTATAACGTAGGAGGGGGCACATTAGTGGCTATCGTCTGCCATCTTGATATGTTATCTATTGAAATACGTATGGGTAACTGTGTCTTCGGAAAAGTATCCCTAAAGCCTTTGCACTGTGCAAAGTTATATTACCATTGATCTTCATTGTATAATGGAGAGCAATTTATTTATTTATTATTTATTTATTTATTTATTTCTTGTTTATCCTGGGAGACCTTTCAGTGGAACACTGTTTTTCAAAGGTGCCCAGCAGTTATAACAAACATACAATAGTATAAAATAGAAAAACAAGCAATAAATACATTAAAAGATATAATTAAGAAGATAAATAAACAGTAAGATGAGACACGGTTAATCACGGTTGCTACATTGGCAGTAAAAAGACAAAAACAAGACAAACATGTACCATATAATATTAAACTATCAGGTTCGTGTAGAGGCGCTTAAAACTTGCAAGAGTATGGGAGGCAATGGATGTTTAAGTGTCGTAGGGAGGTTATGACGTTTTCCTGAGTAGGATTTGGATAAAGAAGGAATTAGATTACCTTGTGAAACAGACCTAGTATTGTTTGAGTGGGTACTAGAAACAAAATGAAAACAGTCACAAAGTTGAGGAGGCAATTTGGATGTTTAACTCTTATACACTAGAGTAGTTAAGTGAAAATCTTGTCTTTCACTTAGAGATTGCCATCTAAGAGTAGATGGACATTACATTTTGATCTAATGGAGATCAATGACTTTTACTATGGGACTTTCCCAGTATAATGCGACACCCATATAATCCAATCAATAGGCCTAATTTCATGACGTCACAATGACTGCGTCTTCATTGCAACGACAATAATGAGTGCCTGCGCAGTACAGTTCACATTGAGTACGCAGGTATGGGTTAAATGCATTGAACCAATGGCTAAAAAATGCCACTGAAAATGTGACATCATCAAATCAGGTCTATAATTTAGCCTACCTACCCACTGAGCATATCTGTGTCGTTACGCCGTTGCATTCCCCGGTTGCCACAGTAGGCAATAATGGGTTGAGACACGTATTGGTTCGGTTGCATGAATCTACATAACAGAAAAAACAAAGGTAACAGAGATTGAGAATTGAACCGCAAAGGAATCTAACAAAAAAAAGTAATGATCCCTTTTATTTTGTTAATACTTGTAAATGTACTGTCGCGTTGTCAACACTTGGGATCCATTGCTTCCCATATGAAGGGGTGGTTGAAGTGACCAAGTCCAGGATTTTTCAGGGTAGTTAGGTGGCTGAGTTGCCATCAACCAACATTTAGAATTTTAGTGACGTTGTAAGGAGTAATTAAACATTGTTGAGATAGAAGGGGTATAAGGTCCAATTCAGTGGCGGATGGGGGTGCTTGGGGTGATCCACCTCCCCTTTTGATACCCTCGCCCGCGATATTTCCCCAAAACAGGATCCGATACACTCGAAAGAGGGCATCCTTTCTGTGTTATGCATATTGGTAGAATATCCTGAGTTTTAGAGAGTAAGTTATCAAAGGAATAAGGGTATTTAAATCAGCGACGCTATAGGCAGAGTCGTGGAGTGGCTAGAAGTACAGGATGAGTTATAAAGAAAGTGACAGAGATTAATTATTTTACCATTAAAAGCATGCAAATTTGATACACCAATGAAGCACGTATTAAGCGAGCACGTTCTTTCACTCATCTGTTAAAAACGTTACTGAAATTGATTTTTGCTATCAGAACTTATGCAAAAGAACACATTTCTACAGCTGTCCATGGAATGCTAGATGTTTTGAAGTTATTCATCTGGGTGGGAACCAGATATTACCACACAGGAATTCAAATTCAAATGAGATTTAATGAGAGTCAAGACTGAAACATTACTTTCACCGTCTGATTTTGTGTTGTACATAAATCAAGTCCTATTTCTGAGAATGAAAATGGTGATTATTTTCTGTTTTGCTTTGCAAGTTTTCTTTCATCGTATAGTATTCATCAATGCGTATCGGTGAATGCTCAGTGGTGGACAGCTACATTTTTGTGGTATTTCTATTAAATTTAAAATTAGCAATAACTTGTGAAAATAGAGTACACAAATTACGTGAAAGTTACTATCGTTAAAAACATGGACTTAATTTATTCCTATTTATTGTTATTAAAATTGGAGCGTACCGCATATCTTTTTAGTATTTTTCGTTATTCGGTATAGGTGCATTTACATCACATGTACACACACTTACCAAAGCGAGCCTGTTTCTCAAATCCGTCTGGAAAGACGCAATCGTAAGTCGAAACTGATGATGGGGTACAAAAATCTATTAAAAAAAAATACAAGTACAAGGTGCATTTCCTGCCATATTATACCATTTTTGAGTTCTTACTGCAGTAGTTATTCTAGGCACATGAACATGGGTAAAAAAGACATGCGCAATACCATCAAGGAGATAAAAGTTCGATGATGTTCTATTTTTGCGTTTCCATGGAACGCAATGGGATACTTGCATGGGATACTTGCATTGTTCTCTCCCACCTCTCTTCTTTAGAATTTCCCTTGTCGGGCACGGTCGTACGACGACGGATTTGTAGAATACTATTGTTCCTCATTTTGTGAGTGTATACACAAAGTACCCTTTCGTAAAAACCCTGTGACGCCCATGCACACAGTCCCTCCAGAAAATTGATCTGATGTGTTTTCCATATTGATACATTAAAGAAAAAAGACGAGCGTTCTCTACCTTTTTCATCAGTAGTCAAAACTCCCCCATTAATTTGATTAGCCTCTTAATTCTTTTGAAAACAATTCTTGGCTAAAATAGTCCTCAAAAAGAGAAATGAAATATAACTTACCAGCTTGACTGTCCCTCAACCAACCGGACGTTACCATGAAAACAATCCAAATAAAATGGGCACCCATCTGGATAATTCTGGACAAAATAGTATAGAAATACTGACTGCTCCTATAATTGTGCAGTGAAACTAGCCTCCCCACGTGATCCATGGAGTGCTCTGGTTTGCCGAGATGACGCAGAGTGAAAATAGAACGTTCCACTGATCACTGGGGGAGGCCATTTTTACTGTGTCACGAGTTAAAGCAATCGATTAGTTTTATAACGACTCGCTTATTTGATAAAAGTCTTTCTGATGATCAAACCCAAATTATTATGGGGTTGACGATTTATTGTGAATTGGATTGCGTTTCTTATGTAGGTTTTATTTCTGTCGAACAATTACCGTGCGTGCGTACATGTACATGTAGGCCTACTATTATGGTCGGCCTGACGACCTGTGTGTGCTGGAAAAACCTTTAAATCTGAAATTATAGTAGAAGAATACAAAAATAAAACAGAAATGCATAGTTTGGTTCGTAAATAAAATAAAAGGATGAAAAAGTAGACCGTTCCAAAACGGCGAACGGTGCGAACCGCGCGCCGGCAAAAATGATGTCACCGTGCACGGGCGGCCACGTTGGGCCGTCCACATGAGGCACCGGCCCGGCTTCCGCCATGCGGAAAATCACGCTGCGCTATATCGGTCAGCGGCCAAAAAGCGCTCGAGCTCTGCATTCGCTGCCTGAATATGTCATCAGGCAGGTATGTGCGTTGGGGCGCGGTATATACGTTGTCGCACTGACAATATTAGTATACCATGGTGACGAGATCTCGGCCAATCAAGAGCAGAGTCTGTGAGATGTCATAAAATCTGTTAAACAATTTTTGACTTCTGCCGCGTCGAATTCCATGTCAAGTATTACATTATCTCTCAGCTAAAAAAAGGTTACTCAGTAACAATGTCGGTTGGACGGTCACTCCGTCAGTGAGTCGGTTAGTCAATAATGTCCATGTTACTATCCGGCTGAACATCCAACCAAAATAGCTTCCAGATATCTTCGTTGTCTGACACAGACATAAGCCAACACAGTAATATCGGACTGATTATGCATTAAGCTTAAGTCTGCTCTTTTCTTAAATTCAATGTTCGTTATCTTAAGTTTAAACTATTCCTGACACAAAATAGTCTGGTCTTCCACTATTTCAAACTAAATGAAATGTCTTCATGTATGCCCGCCAAAAACTACTGCCCTCCCCGTACACCATCACTAACCTGCGTCTCGGCCTTACTACAGTCCAATGTTGTCCTATGTGTGATTCATTTCTGGTCCGCCCAATTTCTGCTCATTTTTTTGGAGTCCAAGTTCATGAAGCCAGCGTCTGTAAGCATCCAAGATCCAAGTTGGATAATCAGTCGTCTAACCGCATTACAGTTACACCTTGCTAATTGTGGTGTGAGAAACTCACAGACTGGCTCCGTCGGTAGGGTTTAATATAATCATATACGTGTCGGTCTGTTGAAGCGCTATGGGCGTATAGCCGATAACTAGACCTATATAATATTGCTCGGTAACCCAGTTTTCACACCTATTTCTGGGACGCAAGTTGTTTTTTTGTAGACCAGCATTCCTCCAGCAAAGTCATGAGTGCTAATATACCTGCTTGGGTCTCACCCCTTCGGATTCCAATCATGTCTAGTGCGATCATGCATGACCGCGACCGGTTTGGCTGTGTTTTTTTTTTCTTCCAAGTTTAGCAGTGGTTCGCAATATGTTGAGCAAAAAAAATCATTCTCCGATTTTTTCACTTCAACACTACAGAACATGAAAATCAACCAGCGACTGATTAATGGAAGCCGTGCCTTGGGACTGACCTCTTTTGTCTGGCTTTCTTTGGTGCACGCGATACAAGGCCAAAAACACGAGGTCATACGTCACAGACTGTTTATGCATATTCATGAGTTTGTGCGGGCGCGCCTGCATATTGCATACATTACAGCGCGGCCGCCATTTTGAAATCGCATGGGGGATCGCATGGGGGACGATATTTGTGGAATCTGATGACTGAAATTCGTCTTGTGGCCAGATGGATGAAAATATTGAGACCAAACAACGTTTTTTCGAAAAAGTATGAGTTGCTCTACGACTACGAACCTTAACTTTGGAAATCTGTGTCCTGGATGAAAAGATAATCGCGATCGAAAGATGTAGCAAAATCGCTACATCGGCGGCCAACAAAATTCAGTCTTTGTGGAAGCATCGGGCGTCTGGCCGTACTACAGAGCTTGCGATAGTACTGTACGGCCAGACGCAGTCGGGCTAGCTAATGACCAGCGTGGCAGCTCATGCACGATGTCGCTGTATGGTCTGACGTTACCGTTTTCTCTGATTTTTTCCCGACTATCCAAATTTCCTGAAGAATGTTCATGTCGGACGAGATCGTGGGTGCAGAATTCTCAAGCCTTATGGCCTTACTGAGGTCACCTCAAGCTCCACTCTGAAGGATATTCTGGAGAGTTTTAAGGGGATCGAAGAGTCATCTGCAATATCAACCGACATTTGAAGAAGTGAAAAGGAGGGGGAAAAACCCGCGTCGACGCACCACTTTTGGGACAAGCTCCATACTTGAAACCGGAGACTTTTTTTGTTTGGCCTTACTGGTGGAATGATTTATAGCCCGCAAAAAAAGACACGTTTCTGTCTGATGATACTATAGACGACGCGAGTTACCTTTTGCCCAATCAGAAACAACGTTTCATTCATCGCTCACAGTCCCTGACTTTTTTGTAAGTGTTTTATAACCAATAAAAAGTTCACTCCTGATTTCTTGACATCAAAAGTATGTGATTTATACAAATACACCGATCGTGAAAAGGACCAGCTCGTGCAATCATTTCGGGGAAAATAAACGTTGAGTTGATGCTGAGTACGGAAAGTTAACCTAATTGTGTCATTCAATTCAATTCAATTCAATTCAATATTACATTTGTTTCCATACTAAAATAATAACATAACAGAAAGCAAAATACAATAGTGTGGAGGCACAATCCTAATAAGCAAAGGCTTGTAGCGGAGTGCCTTTAGAAGAGAAAACACATTGTCATAAAAGTTGGTATCTAAACATTTCTATGCAAAACCCCCTACACCTGGGGTTTATGTAGAAAATATCAGATGGTTAATTATTACTCCTCATCACGCTCAATATTAACTTCGGCAGCGACCGCAAGCCCCATTTTAAAGAATAAGTGAATATACCAACTTTTACGACAACGTGGTAGTAATGTGTGTTGCATTCGATGTAAACTTGGAACTTCGCATCTTGCATTTGGTTTGTGTGACTGCTCTGTATTCCGACACCCCTACGTCCCGACAACCCAATGTTCGGACAAATCTATCTTCCGACACACCTTTGTTCCGACAACCATTGCGTTAGCCCATTTGTGCGTTGGGGCCGGATTCCTGGCCACTTTCATTTGACTTTTTTAGCAAAAGTTTTTTGAGGTTTTAAAGACAATTTATTTTATTATTTTGTTAAGAATATACTGTTGCTCTTAAAACGTTTAACTGTACTGAAAAGTGGAGAAAATGAATTGTGTATCATTATGCATGACATCGCATGTAAATATTATTGTTGAAAGGTAGACTTGATGACAAGTCGTTAGACTATAGTGGTTTATGTCCGTCACCGGCGCAAGTAAGCCGGGGCATGTGGGGGGACTGTAATCGAACGCACTGCATGAGAACATCGGAACATCATGGGGGTTTTAGACACATGCACTGATAAAAATGCCCGTAAATTTACGGACTCCGTAAAGTGAAATATTCCGTATTTTCGGCGTAATTATACGGATCTTTCCGTAAATGCGAATATTAATTATGCTATAGGAAATTTGGTCCCTATCATCCAACACCTCAAAGTTATTAGTGTTCACAGTTCCCCGCGAAACATGTTGTATTACGTGTACGTACATGTTATGTATGCACTTAATAGTTAACTTGACTAGATTGACCTTTTAATCTGGGTTATAGAAAATGCGCCTAAATGTTAACCAGTTTAGTCGGCCAATCTTTACGATCGACCAATCAAAACGCCCCTTTTGCACACGCATGAACAAGAACTCCGAGGTCAAACCGTATATACACAAAAGAATCCCATCGAGCGCGCGCAAAAAAAGCCAGTGTTGATCGCGCATTGCAAAATGGAGTTCGTGGGCGCGAGCACCGGCAAAAAATCCACTCCCAAAATGCCCGCCAAAAGACAAGTTCTCGGACTTCGTGTGACCAGTGATTCCAATCAGGGTGGTAGGGATCACATGGAAGACATGATTTCCATCCGATATGAGCGGAGGAAGGACAACGATTGTGCCTTCTTCGGTGTTTTTGACGGGCACGGGGGAAAGGAAGCCGCCGTGTTCGCGCGTGATACGCTGTGGGACACGATCAAAGCCCAGCGGGGATTCGAGTCCAAAGACCCGGAGAAAGTCAAGCAGGCGATCAGCGAGGGATTCCTCAAGACACAGGACGCCATGTGGAAGAAACGAGGCAAGAATATCCCCATTTTAATGTCTTTATTTTCATCAAATGTTAACTTAAGGAAGTGGCTAAATCCATTTCCCCAAAATTAAACATTGTTAATAGGGTGGTCGGCACTTTTGGGGTTTTTTGGTCCAAATATTACAAACTTGGTATCATTGGAAAGAGCTTCCAAAAAGAAATCTAATGGTACCAATTATAATTTTATATCTTAAAGTATGGTGAAGTAATGGTCCATTAAAGGGGCATGTCCCACCCTAATTATTCTGTCGGCATGGTGCGGGGTGTAAAATTAAAAAGAAAAATCCAATTCACCTCAAAATATTTGAGAAAGGTTTGGAAAACATTTTCAAGTTCATTTAGATGAGATCATATTATCCTAAATTTGTATTCTCAGGTCCTCTTTATGGTAGTCCTTTAATAGCTGGTATGTGTACATTTCCTCGGAGCTGTCATATTTGAGGTTGATTTGAACAAGGATGGCCAATCCAGGAACCTAAAATAGATATGCATGGAAACTTTGCATTAACATTCACCCAACTGTGTGTTGAAAGTATTATACGGCCAAAAAAAAGGTTTTTAACTTAGCAAAAGTACATCTTTAAAGTATGGAAGTATTTGATGACAGACAACATTTCTCCAATATGTAGGTTCCAGTGGGAGTTAACTTTATATTTATTTTGTCCCCTTTTTTTGGCCTTATGTTATGCAGAGATGTATATTCAAAAATAATTTTAAAAAACATTGAATCTTGTTCTTCATTATACATTGTACTCAGAACAGTCTGGTTAGACTCTGGACTAAACATATTCAGGAACTAGAAGCCTAGGGCAAAAAAGCAAAGACAAAAATAAGCTAATTTTAACATGTTTAATGCAAATTTAGTTCAAGTTGGAAAATATTCAAAAACAGTTGAAATATTACTATATTAATTTTTTAGCAGAATTGTATATTTGTATAATGTAAATTTCCCCAATAAAGCAATCCACCAAAATTTACCCCAGTAATCACAGCATTGAAATATTATTGCTTCATGCATGCATAAAGCATGGAGGAAGAAATAGGCAGCCATTGCATTGTGACACCGCTGTGCGCCATATTTTAAACACCTTGCTGAAGGCACCTCGACAACAAAACCCCCCAGCGTCAAAAAGCGTCATGGGAAACATAACAAAAAAACTAGTCACACAAACTCCTGAAACTCCACCCTTTCAGAAACTACCCCTTTTTTAGTCTTTCATGAACTCCTCATGTGAGATTTTTAACGATTTTTCGGCCCAAAAATCATGACAATCTGTACCTTTATTTCGTCAGAAAAAATCTCCAAAATCGGAAGGCAAAAAAAAATCGAGTGTACCTCTTCTTGGTATGAGTCGAAAGAGATTTTCTTTGGCTTTACTATGATGTCATTTCTATTTTTGTCCGACGAAATCTCGGCAAATCTCGCCACAAAACGTGAGTGAATGTCACGAGCTAAAAACAAGATGGCCGCTCCCAGGGCAACTGCGATCACAACTTCCCAGAAATAAACATCGATTTCAACAGCAAATTTCACGATTTCGCATATGGTGATCATCCAAAAAAAATATATCATTGGAAAGATCCATCATTTCTCTCTGTAATCATCTCATCAGAGAAACTGTTCCAGTTTCAAAAAAGGGTTAAACTGCGCCAGTTTGAAACACACTTTCGCATGCAAACAGATACAAATGAAGATCGACCCCGTTACGCCGACCTCCCTATTGTTAACCTTGATAACCGCATCGGTAAATGTGTGAGGGCGCTGTTCATTTGCCGAAAAGCATCGTAGTTTTTTAAAATTCCAATATTATTAACAGAATTTTTGAAATCATGCTTGGGGAAAAAATGTTGCAACCTGACGCCACTTTTTTTCTTCATAGGCTTATCATCTCAATGAAGGTCAGTCATTGCAAAAATGACGATAAGACATGAATCTGGGACTGAGAAATATTTCCAATTTTGTTGGGAAATAGGTACTTGAAAAATTTTTGTCACTCTCCATAGACTTTGTACACAATCGCTGAAGTGGTGTCAGGTTGCAACATTTTTCCCGTGAT